ACCGTAAATTCTTGTGCTCTAGGCCCAACCCAACCAGGACATGTATATATTGGAATTGCTTTGCCAGTGTGAGCGTAGCCTATGCTCGGAACCTCGACAGTCAAATCACATGCACGCACGTGCCTCTTCTCTCTCTTTCTTTCGTTCTTCCCTCTCTTTCCCAGAACCCCACTACAGCTTCTTTGCTCGTGTGAGCATCGCCTATGCTTGGAACCTCGATGGTAGAACCACCTGCACTCACATGCCCCTTCTCTCCTCCTCCGCATCCTACTCCTCCGCTCACTCCCCTAACCCCCTCCACATCTCCCTCACTGAGTTTCCCCACCGCGATCACCTTTTAGAATCACTCACACCCGTGCTGAGAGTCATGGCGAGCACACTGAGGGAGCTGGTGGAGGCACACTTAGCTAAGCACCAGGACTCGGTGCAGGAAGATGCCATGTCGCTGTACTATGTGCCCTTCTGCCGGGTGTGGCAACGAGAGGGAGGGAAGCAACCAGAGAAGATTGTGAGGGTAAGGTGGGGAAGAGAGGGGGAAGAGGGGGGAAAGTGGGGGAGGGAAGGATATAGGCTGACACTTAGCAAAGTACAAGGACTCGGTGCTGGAAGACGCCATGTCGCATTACTATGTGCTTTTTGGCGGGTGTGGCAACGAGTGGGAGGGAAGCAACCAGAGAAGATGTTTAAGGTGACGTGAGGGAGAGGGCCAGGTGGGTTACTTAGCTAAGTGCAAAGCAAACTCGGTGCAGGAGGATACCATGTCACTCTGGTACAACACCTGGGGAACATGCTAGATTGATTGTGAGCATACGATCTAGCGCCACCTGAACCACGAGCAGCTCAGCTCCCCTCCCCCCGGGCTCTTCTCACCCACTCCTCCCCCTCCTCCCACTCCTCCCACTCCTCCCACTCCTCCCACTCCTCCCACTCCTCCCACTCCCACTCCCCCCACTCCTCCCACTCCTCCCACTCCTCCCCCTCCTCCCACTCCTCCCCCTCCTCCCACTCCTCCCACTCCTCCCACTCCTCCCTCCTCCCACTCCTCCCACTCCTCCCACTCCTCCCACTCCTCCCACTCCTCCCACTCCTCCCACTCCTCCCACTCCTCCCACTCCTCCCACTCCTCCCCTCCTCCCACTCCTCCCACTCCTCCCACTCCTCCCACTCCTCCCACTCCTCCCACTCCTCCCACTCCTCCCACTCCTCCCACTCCTCCCCTCCTCCCAATCCTCCCACTCCTCCCACTCCTCCCCCTCCTCCCACTCCTCCCACTCCTCCCACTCCTCCCCCTCCTCCCACTCCTCCCACTCACTCCTCCCACTCCTCCCCTCCTCCCACTCCTTCCCCCTTGCCACTCAACATGATCTGCGAGCCGTGGATGATGACGGGACTAGAGGAGGTGGGGCACGTGATCCAGCACCACCCCAACCCACAAGTGCAAGACTTCTTCCCCCACCTTCCTCTCACCGTTTCCCACCGCTCTGTGTTCCTTTCTGCTCAACAAGATCTGCGAGCCGTGGATGATGACGGGGCTGGAGGAGGTGGAGCACGTGATCCAGCACCACCTCAACCACAAGCAGCTCCTCGTGGAGGCCTCTGATTGGCTCCTGCTCTCCTGCGACCCGCGCTTCGACCTGCACCTGGGGAGGAGGGATCAAGCGGAGAGGGACGAGAGGAGCACATGGCAAGGGGAGGGGGAGGAGAGGGCGAGAGAGAGGGGGGCGGGGTGAGGAGGGAGGAGTGGGCGGAGCGGAAGGGGAGGGAGGGGAGGTGGATGATGGGGAGGAGAGGAAGCTGAGGGAATTCATAAAGTGGGTGCAGCGGAGGGGCATCAGGGAGTATGGCACGGATGAATCGCCCTCAAGGTGAGGAAGTCGTTGATTTACCCCTGCACTGAGTGTGCGTTCAATTCGCCTCAAAGGCTGAAGGTGAAGAGGAGAGGAATCTGAGGGCGTTTATAAAATGGGTGCAGCGGAGGGGCATCAAGGAGTTCGGCACGGAGGAGTCGCCCCTCAAGGTGAGACTGTGCGAGAGTCACCCTGAAGGCAGGCGTCCATAGAGAGGGTGCAGCAGAGCGGAGGGCGTTTAAAAAATGAGTGTATGTAACAGTCGCCTCAGAGGAAGCTGAGGGCGTTTAAAAAGTTGGTGCAGCGGAGGGGAATCAAGGAGTATGGCACGGATGCATCTCCGCTCGTAGCCTCGAGCTGAGTATAGCCCTGCGGAGAGGCACAGTGCCTTATTCACGTCCTGCAGCAGCACTGTGCCTCTCTGCAGCCCTGTGGGGAGGCCAGTCAGAGTGATGAGAGCATCAAAATGAAGCACTGCTTTTCACATCTTGTCCTTGTTGCTTTTCACATCTTGTCCTTGTTGCTTTTCGAGACGCCTCGAAGCTAATCAACGTATTTCCCTTGTGTCTTGCCCCCTTCTGCCTGCCATCTTCGTCGTGGCTCGCCGCTTGCCTCCCACCCCCCGCCGTCAAACTGGCATCCCCCTTATTGACAGTTTCATTTCTTACGACCATCGTGACGTCGCACCCTCCGTGGATAACACCTCAGACCCCTCTACTGCCACCAATGCCACTTCCAAGCCACGAGTCAGGTCTGCATTCTGCCACGTGTCAGGTCTGCATTCTGCCACAACTGATTGGCAACCAGCCACGTCAACTCGCATGTGCGCACAGTTGTGCATGCTTCGTTGCATGCTCCTTCCGCCCGTCTGCACATTTATGCATGCAAGCATTGTTCCATGGAATTTTTTCTTCCTCCCTCCTCTCTGCCTGTCTGCTTGTCTGCTTGTCTGCTTGTCTGCGTCATTTCTTTTCTACCTGTCTCCATGCCTTGGGCGTGAGATGAGCATGCTGGCAGGTCGGGACCTCGGGGAGGGCGAATTGCTGCTGACTTCCAGTTACTCTCATTCCTGCTCATGTCCTTTCTGCTCCTCTGCCTCTCTGCATGTCTGCCTGTCTGCCTGTCTGCCTGTCTGCCTGTCTGCCTGTCTGCCTGTCTGCCTGTCTGCCTGTCTGCCTGCCTGCCTGTCTGCCTGTCTGCATGTCTGCCTATCTGCCTCTCTGCCTCTCTGCATGTCTGCCTGTCTGCCTGTCTGTCTGCCTGTGTGTCTGTGTCCCTGCCTGTCTGCTCGTCTCCTTGACCCAGGCGCCAAATGAGCATGCTGGCAGGGAGGGACCTCCGGGAGGGTGAGGTGCTGCTGACCATTCCCCAGTCACTGTGGGTCACAGCCGAGGTGGCTGCGGAGGAGATGCCGCCCCACACAGGTACTGCATTGAACGACTAAGGTATCCCATTTCACCGCATTGCACTGCACAGATACTCCATTGCACCGCATTGCAGCACACAAGGAGGTGCACTGACCATTCCCCAGTCGCTGTGGGTCCCAGCCAAGGTGGCAGCAGAGGAGATGCCGCCCCACACAAGTACCACATTGGACCACAGAGGAGTTCAATTGCACGGCACTGCAGCACACAAGGAGGTGCTGGCAGCCATGCACAGTCGCTGTGGGTCACAGCACAGGTCGGTGCAAAAGGGGGGTGCTACCGCACACAGGTACCGCATCGCACCCATTGTGCTGATTCCACTTAGTGCCAAACTTGTACTGTGGTCACTTAGTTTTAACTGCCCCGCACAGGCATTGCAGTCAGAAATTTTGTCGAAATTATCCCTCTCCTCAACCCCCTTCTCCCTCCCTCATTCCCTTCTACATTCCCGCCCTCTGTGGACATCCAGCTGGACATGGCAGCATGGCTGCTGCAGGAGAAGCCGGGCGAGAGGCCGGCAGTCTGAGTGGTGGCCCGTTGTCAAGTGTTCCTGGCCCTCAATCCCAGAACCCCCGATGGCGTTCCTCCTTCCTCCCACCTTCCCCTCCACACCCCGCTCTCTCAAATGACAGCCCCTGTGCACATCCAGCTGGCCATGGCAGCATGGCTGCTGGGGAGGGGGGGGCAGCAGCAGGCAGTCTGAGTGGTGTGGTGGGTGCATGTCAATAGGATATCTGCTCTCAAACCCACCCACACCTCCGCCTCTCTCCCTCCCCCTTTCGCTTCCTCCTTCCCCTCCTCTCCCCCCCACTTCAGGCGCTGTGGACATCCAGCTGGCCATGGCGGCATGACTGCTGCGGAAGAAAGCGAGAGCGAGAGGCAGGCAGTCGGAGTGGTGGCTGTACATTGAGACCCCCCCTCCTTTCAACCATCCCATACCCCCCGAATCCCGCTGTGTCCACCCCAACCAGGCCCTGTGGACATCCACCTGGCCATGGCGGCATGGCTGCTGCAGGAGAAAGCGAGAGGCAGGCTGTCGGAGTGGTGGCGGTGCATCGGCATGCTGCCCCCCCTCAAAACCCCTTCCCCCCCCACTCCTCTCTCCCACTCTCCTCTCTGGGGATCTATTTCAACACTCAACAGGCCCTGTGGACATCCACCTGGCCATGGCAGCATGGCTGTTGCGGGAGAAAGCGAGAGGCAGGCAGTCCGAGTGGTGGCCGTACATTGACATGCTGCCGCCCTACGTGCCGCTGCCATACCGCTTCCGCAACGAGTCCCTAGATGAGGCACAATCGGCCTTTGTGAAGCAGCTGGTGAGCATTTGACTGGTATGGGCACGGCCCTAGGCAGTCCGTGCCTCTCAAGCAACTGGTGGCCCTACACTGACATTCTGCTGCCCAATGTGCGCTGCTGTACTGGTTCTGCAATGGCAGCCCGGTCGAGGCACAGCTGGCCTTAGTGGAGCAGATGGTGCGTGCTTCCTCTGGTACTTGTGAGGGTGTACACACGCCCCTACATTGAGACGCTGCCGCCCAATGTGCACTGCCGTACTGGTTTCGCAATGGCAGCCCGGTCGAGGCACAGCTGGCCTTAGTGGAGCAGATGGTGCGTGCTTCCTCTGGTACTTGTGAGGGTGTACACACGCCCCTACATTGAGACGCTGCCGCCCAATGTGCGCTGCCGTACTGGTTTCGCAATGGCAACCCGGTCGAGGCACAGCTGGAGCAGATGGTGCATGCGTGTGGCAGTGTGATAGGGGTTTCGTTTTGTGACGTCTCAAAACTCGACTTAAGGTTTAGTTTTTAATGTTAAAGTTTATCATATCGTGTGAAGCAGATGGTGCGTGCGTTTGGCTGTGAATGCAATGCTGCACTTGAGGTGAGCAATGGGAGGGAATAGCACATGTGAAGCTGCCGAGCCGCTGCCGTGCCGCTTTCGCAACGACAGTTCGGATGAGGCAAAGTCAGTTAGGGGCTCCTAACTGATCACGTGTGGGCGCACCCCATCCTGACAGCTCATGCATTCTCCGTCTACCCCTCCCCACCTCAGGTCCTTGTCCAGGGGGAGAAGTTGGTTTTCGAGAATTCTCAAAACCCAACTTTCCTGGCATTTCGTGCATTCTCCATCCACCCCTACCCATCACAGGTCCTTGACCAGCGGGAGAAGGCACGGCTGGAGCACACTCAAGCCCGCCCCCTCACCTGCCCTGTCTTTTGCCTCGTTTGAGGACTATGTCTGGGCGCACTCCATCCAGGACACAAGGACCTTCTCCCTCCATCCCTCTCCATCTCTCTCCATCCCTCTCCATCTTGCTCCCTCCCTACTCCAGATCCGTGACCAGCGGGAGATGGCCTGGCTGGAGTACAACCAAGCCCACCTGCCCGCCCTGGGATTCGCCTCGTTCGAGGACTACCTGTGGGCGCACACCATCCTGGACTCACGGGCCTTTGGTGTGCCAGGGAAAGAGCTCACTGCATGGACATCTCTGTCGCCACAGGAGCTCACTCCACCCTCCCCTCTCTCCTCTCCTCCCTCCATCTCCTTCCATCTCTCCCCATGTTTCTCCCTGCAAACCCGCAAATAGATCTTTGACCAGCGGGCGATGGCCCGGCTAGAGTATGACCAAGCCCACCCGCCCGGCCGCCCTGGCGTTTGCATCATTTGACGATCACCTGTGGGCGCACTCGATCCTGGAGTCACGGGCCTTTGGTTGCCGGGGAAGGAGCTCACTGGCATGGACATCTCAGTCGTGACAGGGGTGGCGGGGCGGGGAAGGAGCTCAACGGCATGAGGAGTCTATTTTTGAGGCGCCTAATAAATAGATGCCTTTGGTGCGCCAGGGAAGGGGCTGAAAGGCCCAGTCGCCCTTTCAGTCGCCCCAGGGACATCTCAGTCGCCCCAGGGGCTCCTCCACTTACCCTCCACTCTCTCCTCTCCTCCCTTCGTCTAAATCCATCTCTCCCCATGTTTCTCTCTTCAATCCCACAAATAGATCTTTGACCAGCGGGCGATGGCCCGGCTAGAGTACGACCAAGCCCGCCCGCCCGCCCTGGCGTTCGCCTCGTTCGACGACTACCTCTGGGCGCACTCCATCCTGGACTCGCGGGCCTTTGGTGTCCCGGGGAAGGAGATCAAAGGCATGGACATCTCGGTCGCCACAGGGGTCAGCAAGGGTGGGAGAAGCAAGGGGAGCAGGAAGGGGGACGAGGACGGCGAGGAGGCTGAGAAGGGGAGGAGGAGGAGGGACAGTGAGAGTCGCCTGCGGACGATGGCGAGTGCACCGGACGAGCTGGTTGAAGCGATTAATGAGGCGGTGGGGGTGCTGAAGGAGTCAAACCGTCGGGTCGTGCGCGGCATGCCCATGGCTCTCATCACTGCGGCTGAATTGTTGGACCACCAAGTGAATTCGTCCATCCAGTACAACGTGAGTATGTTAAAAAAGCCAATTAGTAGTGACTGGTAAAGTGTGGCTCCTCTGGCCCAACGAGGTGGTGGGTGCTGAAGCAGGCGGGTGGTGCGGGGCATGCCCGTGGCATTGATCAGTGCGGCTGAAGTCACCAGGTGGATTCGTCCATGCAATACAACCAGAGGAGCCACGCTAGTGAGTCACTGAGTGTGGGGCTAGTACTGACTGACGGACTGCTGAAGCGTGGCTCCTCTGCCAAACAACCACCGGGTCGTGTGCGGCATGCCGTTTGTAGATCACCGCGGCTTATTATTGCGCTGCTGTGTGATCCCGGGTGGTCCAACAATTCTAGCTAACACCTTTCCGCTCCCGTGTGTAGGTCAGTCTTCTGTTGTCTCGTCGTCCCCCAGCTCTCGCCACACAGCTGTCCCTTACTCCAAAACATGAATTGCCTCTTCTGCACTCGCATTGATGTAACTCTAACCACCGTTAATTTGCCGCTAGTACGAGTTACGCCGCCTGTATCTCTGGAGGGGAAGGATGGTCGTCCCGGCCAATGGACTGAAAATATGGTGTTTAAGATTGGATAAAGAGAACGAAACGGCGGGTGGAGAGGAACGACGAAGGCATGGGCACACGGGATCTGCACCCCACAGCATCCCTGCGTGACTGTTTGTGGATCCGACACCACGGACGAAGAATAAGCATGATCCGAATCAATGTCCTTCAAGCACCCGCTCCCGTGTCCGAAATCTGCGTGTGGTGATATTCATTCGGATCGTGTTTATTCTTCGACCGTGGTGGTGGATCCACGAATAGTCTCGCAGGGATGTTATGGGGTTAAGATCCTGTATGCCCACATCTTCGTTGTTCCTCTTCACTCTCCAACTAGTTCTCTTTATCCGTAGGTGATTTTTGAGTCGACTCAAATATCTTTATCCTCTCTCAAATACGACCTTGTCAATGCGTTGAAAAGGTGGGGGTGCTGAAGCAGGGTGTTTTTTAGAATTCTCAAAAACACCCTATTCAATCTCAAATACGACTTTTTCAATGCATTGTAAAGGTGGGGGGGCTGAAGCAGTCGAACCGGCAGGTAGTTAGAGGCATGCCCATGGCACTCATCACTCCAGCCGAGCTGCTGGACCATCAAGTGAACTCGTCCATTCATTACAAAGTGAGTGGTTGGTTGGCTAGTTAATTGTGGCTTTTGAGCAAATAAAAGAGGCCTTGGGATCTCCATGTTCTATGCTCCCTACCCCTTCGTCCTTCTCCCTACCTCCCTCCAAGTTCCTCCCCCCCACCCCCCAGAATCCCAGATCACCGATCACTTCCAGGACATACCATCTTTAACGTGACAGCAGGGGTAGAGCTCCACCCCATCTATGGTCGCCCCCATAGCTCTGCTCCCCATCCCCCCTCCCTCTCCCCCCACCCCCCACGCCGCCCACTCTGATTCCTCAGATCACCGATCACTTCCAGTACAGACCAATTATCGACATCTCCCCAGGCTCCGAGCTGTCCAAGTCGTGCGGCCCCAAGACCAACGACCAGCTGCTCTGCACCTACGGCTTCGTGCCCCACCCCAGCCCCTTCGTGCTTGATGCTAACCTCTCCGTTCGCCCATCCCTACACCCGCCCCCCAGATCACCGATGTGTTTCAGTACATACCCACCTTCAACGCCTCAGCAGGATCCGAACTGTCTACCTCATATGGCTCCAAGACCAGCGACCAGCTGCGCTGCACCTACGGCTTCGTGCTCCGCCCTAACCCCCCCGATGACGTCCCCCATCTTTACACCCACCCCGACCCCCCCTCAGATCACCGAAGTGTTCCAATACACACCGATTTTCAATATCTCAGCAGGCTCAGAGCTGTCGACCTCGTACGGCCCCAAGACCAACGACCAGCTGCTCTGCACCTACGGCTTCGTGCTGGACCCCAACCCCTTCGACGGCGTGCCCCTGTTCGAGAATCTCACAGAGGCCATAGGCGTGGTGGCAGCCTTGCTGGCCAATGGGGGCAGGGCGAGGGGAGGAGGAGGAGCGAGTGAGATAGGGAAGGGAGGGGGGGAGAGTGGAGGAAGTGAGAGTGGAAGGAAGGTGGGTGGAGGAGAGGGGGAAGTAAAGGGGAAGGGGGAGAGGGAGGGAGAGAGGGAGGTTTATCCGGGGGAGGTGGAGCTGGTGAGGGCTCTGGAGGGGATCTGGCTGACTGAGGAAAGACCTGCAGCAGCGGCTGCTGAAGGTGGCGGTAGCAGTAGTGGTGGTGATGGCAGCAGTGGCAGCATCAGCACCAGCAGCAGCGACAGTGGCAAGGAGCATGCCAAGAGCGCAGCAGCTGCAGGGACAGCAGGCACTCCCCTCAGCAGCATAACTGAACCCTCCCTGGGAGAAAGGTCACCCGGAGCACTCTCTAGCGCTTCAGAGACCCCTCAGATGGGATTTTCCAGCCAATATTCGCCCGCAGGGAAGTCGGGCAAGGCTCTGTACAGGGATCTGCTGAGGGTGGCGGGGAGGGCGGTGGAGGCGGTGGTGGAGGAGGCGGAGGATGGGAATTACACGGATGCGCTCAAGATGCCGCAGTTCAATGTGAAGCAGCGCGTGGATGACGCCGCGTGGAGGCGCTTGGGGAGGAGAAAAGGAGGGCGTGAGAGCCGTGGGGAGGAGTCAGAGGAGGTTGAGGGGAAGAGGGGTAAGGAGAGGGAGTTGGGCGTGCAGCAAGAGGTGTCGGTGTGGGCGTATGGAGTGGTGGAGCCCACTCTGCTGGCGTCGCTGGCGGCCACGTGGCACCTTGTGCACTACGAGCAAGGTAGATCTCCCAACCCTTTATTCTGTGCACAGACCTCCCGCTGCACTATCAGCGGCAGGAGGTGTCGGTGTGGGCGTATGGACTAGTTGAGCCCACTCACCTGGCGTCACTGGCGGCCATATGGCGCGTGGTGCACTACGAGCAAGGCGAGTCCTTGGGCTGTGATTTTCAACGTCTCTTTGAAGGAGATGAGGAAGGGCGTGCAGCAGGAGGTGTTGGTGTGGGCGTATGGACCAGTGGAGCCTACTCTGCTGGCATCACTGGCAGCTATCTGGCACCTGGTGCACTACGTGCAAGGTGAGTCTTTGGGCTGGATATTTAACGTCTCCATGAAGGAGATTGGGGGAAGGGCGTGCAGCAGGAGGTGTTGGTGTGGGCGTATGGACCAATGGAGCCAACGCTGCTGGCATCGCCAGCAGCCATACGGCACCTAAAAGAAAGGAAAGGGGGGTGGGGGGGGGATTTTATTTTATAGGCGCCTAAAAAATAGACGACTCAGCAGCCATACGGCACCTGTTGTCCTCTTTGCAGGGTGGGTGGGTGGGTATCCGTGGTTGTGGTTCTGATGTTGCGCGGGCATTGTGAAGGAGAAGGGCGTGCAGCAGAAGAGCCCAGTATGGACTAGTGGAGCCCACTCTGCTGGCGTCGCTGGCGGGCATATGGCGCATGGTGCACTACGAGCAAGGACTAGTGGAGCCAACGTTGCTGGCATCGCCAGCAGCCATATGGCACCTGGTTAACTTTTTGCACGGTGGGTGTATTTTCTCGGCGTCTAATACAAAATTGAGGAGACCATTTTTGGCGCTTGGAAAATAGACTCCTCAGCAGCAATATTGCACTGTTGTACTTTTTGCAAGGTGGGTGGGTCTGGGTCTCTGTGATTGTGGTTCCGATATTGCAAGCTGGTTTTGGGGAATTCAAAAAAACCATCTTACCTCAAGGTTGGTGGGTGGGTGGGTGGATCTCAGTGATTGTGGTTTTGATATTGCTCGGGCATTGTGAAGGCGAAGGGGGTGCAGCAGAAGCGGCCACACTGCTGCCTGGTGCCGCTAGCAGCTATCTGACACATGGCGCACTGCGAGCAAGGTGGCGAGTGCGTAAAGGCGTCACGTCATCTTGACCAGATCGAGTACTCACCTTCCCAGTTCACACTCTCGTTGCAAGCATCTCTTGTGATCGTCTCGGCCTGAACCGAACACCCTGCTGACTTTCCATTGACTCCAAGTCAACCCTTCCACACGGCCCCAGTGCCCCACTATGCTGACCTAGCCATTGGCTCCGTGTTCTACAGTTGAGGCGAGCCATGTGTGTCTGTGTGTCTGTGTGTCTGTGTGTCTCTGTGTCTGTGTGTCTGTGTGCCTGTGTGTCTGACTCTCCAACCACCCAACGAGCCCGCCACCACCATACCACCACCACCCTCCAATTGACTTCTCTGTCCTCGTCCCCCCCCCTCTCTCTCGTCTCAGAGCCCCACTATGCTGACCTGGCGCTGGGCTCTGTGCTCTACAGCTGGGGCATATCCGGAAACAGAACCTGCAACCCACCTCCCCTTTCCCCACCCCTCCCACAACCACCCTCGTGCCCCCTGGCACTGCACCCCTCTCTCCCCCTCCCCCCCAGAGCCCCACTACACTGACCTGGCGCTGGGCTCTGTGCTCTACAGCTGGGGCGGGCCATGCGTCTCTGGCTCTCTAACTTGGAAGTACACGCACCCCCTCCCCCTTTTTGATGCCCCTCACCATCCCCCTCCCAGAGCCCCACTACGCTGACCTGGCGCTGGGCTCTGTGCTCTACAGCTGGGACCTATCCGGAAACAGAACCTGCCTGCACGTCCTGCCAAACTACTCCACCCTCATGCCGGCCGTGGTCGCCGCGGCCGACACCATTCGTCTGCTAGCGGAGTACCGACTGGCTCGGTACCCCACCTCCGTGGAAGAGGACGACGCCGTGCTTCTGAAGCTGCAGTCCTGCCAAGCCTGGGGAAGAGGCTCGGTGGTAGGTTCGGCAAAATCAGGGGAGGATAAGCAGGGGAGGGAGGAGGCGGAGGAGAAGCAGGGGGAGAAGCAGGGGGAGAAGCAGGGGGAGAAGCAGGGGGAGAAACAGGGGGAGAAGCAGAGGGAGAAACAGGAGGGGAAGGAGGGCAGAGAGGAGGAAGAGCACGAGGCGTTTTCTGCGTGGTGCAGATCGATCTTACCTGCGGTGGAGGAGAGGATGGTGATGGTGCGGTACCGCATGCACAAGAAGAAGGTGCTGCGCAGCGTGGTCTCCCGCCTCACACGCACCTGCATCGAGCCCTCTCTGGTCGCTGCTCGAGCTCCCCCGGGTGCGGCTTTCCACAGCCCAGCTAATTCGGTGGGTTTGAGTTCTTCCGATGCTGCAATTCAGGAGGCTTCTCCTACGCCTGTATCGAACAATGAACAAATTGAGGTTCCTGCAGATGAGAGCTCATAAGTGCATCTGGAAGCAGGGTACATGCTGGAGGGCTTCAGCGAGCGTGTGTCCTTTGTGTGGGTGGGTGTCATGTCATATCTAACGAACAGTGAAATTGATGAATAGAGAGAGAGAGTACACAAACATATACCTAAATGTTGTACTCTCTAGAAGATAACCCTATACAGTCTATACAAGCATGATAACTAAACATGTTTGACACACCCCCTGGACTGCATAGGGGAATGTTCTAGACAAGCAGCTCAGGGTGGCACTACTAGTCCAGCCTCTGAGACAAGGGTCTAAAAGACCAGTCAGAAGGAGTACAGGCAAGGCAAGAACTAGTACAGGGCGGCACTACTAGTCCAACCACTGTAAGAGGACACAAGTCCAGTCTGAGTGTACACACAGATATATAGGACAGTACAGAGTCAAGGCCCGAGTAAGTGAGAGACTACAGGAACCAGACCAAGCTGCACACAGTGCCGCTGATGATCTTTAGGCGCAAGCGCCTTCGTAAAGATATCAGCTGTGTTGGCACCGGAGGCTAAGTGTACTACGCGAGCCTGGCGACGCTGCTGTAGCTCACGCAGGAGGAAGTACCGCAGCTGGATGTGCTTCGCTCTGCCCTCGAGTCGAGGCTCCTGACACAGGAGGATCATGGCCCTGTTGTCAGCGTACAGGACCGGGGCAGAGCTAGGCCGCTCACCTAAGTCAGTGAGCAAGAAGGTCAGCCAGCGGAGCTCTTGTGCCGCCATGGCACCGGCGTAGATCTCGGCCTCACAGCTGGACTGGGCAACAGACGAAGAGCGGGTAGCTCTCCACGAGACAGCACCTGAACCAAGGCTAAAGCAGTAGCCCTGGGAAGACCTGAGCGTCTCGGCGTCGTCTGCCCAAGAAGCGTCTGTGTGTCCAGTAAGGACCACTGGCCTGCGTCCGCCTAGCACTAACCCCATGCCCGATGTACTTGCAAGATAACGCAAAACCCTCTTAGCGGCAGACCAGTGCTGAGGTCGGTGCCTGCCTGTGGCCACGAAACGAGCCAGGATGCTGAGAGGGTATGCGAGATCTGGGCGAGTGCAAGTCATCAGGTACATGAGGCAACCCACTAGCTCAGCGTAAGGACCACTGGGATCTACCGACTCCTCAGGAACTGGAGCGGAGAGTCTGTGGTCCAGAGGAAGAGGGGTGGGCTGTGCGGAGGAGAACTGAAGGCCGAACCTCTGAAGGACCTGGCGCACCAAGTGTGACTGAGTCAGGGTGATGGTGCGCGCGGCTCTGTCCCTGGAGATCTGCAAGCCAAGGTAACGGCGCAGCTCTCCAAGGTCAGTGCAGTTGTGTCTCTTCAGCAGCTCTGCCTTCACGGAGGCCAGTGCGTCCCTGTCAGCAGTGGCAAAGACCAGGTCGTCTACGTAGACGAGGATGTAGAACGGAGTCGAGCCAGCACGAACGAAGAGCGAGGGGTCTGCAGAGGACGGAAAGAACTGCAGGTCAGCAAGGGTAGCACGCAAAGTGTCGTGCCACTCACGAGGCGCCTGGCGCAGGCCGTAGACTGGCCGCCGCAGAAGCCACTGGGTCCCAGGGGGGAAGGTGCCAGTAAAGCCCTGAGGGCGACGCAGGTAGACCTGCTCGTGAAGGCTGCCCTGAAGAAAGGCAGTGGAGAAGTCGAGGGAGTGAAGCTCGTAGTCACGCTGAGCCGCTACGTGTAGCAGCACCCGAAGAGTAGTCATCTTCGGGGTAGGAGCGAAAGTCTGAAAGAAGTCCACCCCCTCGCGCTGACTGAAGCCTCTAGCCACGTAGCGCGCCTTGAACACAGGCGGCTCTCCAGGAGGGCGCTTCACCTTGAAGAGCCAACGGCCATCGACCACGTTCACCCCAGGTGGGGGAACTGCGTCGACGAAGGTGCCGGTGGATCTCCAAGATGCCATCTCCTGCTCCATGGCAGCTATCCACTGAGAGGCCCAGGGTCCCGAAACCGCCTCAGCGTAAGTACGAGGGGTCGGGATGTCGAAAGCGTCTGGGTCACCCTCAGGGACTAGCAGCATGGAACAGAGATGGGGAGCAGCCTCGGACAGGAAAGCAAGCTCAAACTGGCGGTCCTCCAGGACGTCACTGCCGAGGGCAGGAGCACCCCCAACAGACGGAGGACAGGCAGGGTGAGAGACCAGAGCGGTGGCGTAGTCAAGGCGGCGGGTAGAGGCGAAGTCAGCGACCGCAGCGACGAGGGCGTCAAGACTCGACACGGGAACAGACGGGTCGGTAACGAGAGAGGCAAGGACCCGAGGAACAAGAGGACGAGCGGCACGAAAGGAGTCGGACAGAGGAGGAGACGCAACGACAAGAGAAGACGGAGGAGGAGACGGGAGGAGGGGAGGTCGAGACGCGTGGGAACGGAGCAACATAGGGTGAGAGCGCGGGACAGGGGCGACAGGACGAGCACGAGAGGGGCGGCGAGACCAGACGTGTGAGGGCGGCGTCGGGTCAGGAGACAGAGGAGGGGACACAGGAGGGGAACGAGGGGGAAGACGAGCCGGGGACGAGTCTGGCAGAGGGAACACGGGGCCGTAGACGGGAAGAGGGGGAGACGGCAGGAGAGGAACAGGCGCAGGGTCAGGAGACGGAAGGCCGAGCAGACGGAGGGCGGACACAGGCGGGGACTGCTGCTGCGGCGACACAACACCAACTCCAGGGCCACAAGCTGCGCGACGGCTACCTCCCGAACCCTCCACACCTGCACCCCCAGAAGGGACACCCCCAGAGTCCACAAACGGCGGCAGCGACGACAGCGGCGGCGGCGGCGGCGGCTGCAGCGACGGCTGCGACGGCGGCGGCGGCGGAGACGACGGCTGCAACGGCGGCGGCGGTGGAGACGACGGCTGCGGAGGCGGTGGAGGAGGAGACACCGGGGGAGGGACAGACGGCGAGGACTGCGCCGGAGGACTACCAGAGTCAGAAGACTCGTCGACCGGGACGACCGACGGGAGGGGGGTGACGTGAGACACACCAGAGGGGGCCGGACGGGGGGCGGGGGGGGGGGAGGGGCAGGGACCACCAGGGAGGGAGGAACCAGGAAAAGGGGGGGAGTAACCGGGGGACCACGGTGGGGAAAGCGGCGGTAGAAGGAGACGGACTCGTCAAAGGTGACGTCGCGAGAGTGAAAGAAGCGGTGAGACGGCGGGTGGTAGAAGTGCCAGTCGGACGCGTCAAGGGGGAAACCGAGGAAGACGCAGGGGAGGGTGCGGGCAGTGAGCTTGTCCGTGCCAGAGGCACGAACGTGAGCAAGGCAGCCCCAGACGCGGAACGCAGACGCGTCACCAGGGGACCCGGTCCACAGAAGGGTCGGCGAAACCTGCGGCCGCTGGGGGTGCGGCCACAGGTTAAGCTGGTGAGCGGCGTAGCGCACGGCGAACGGCCACAGAAAATGGGGTGCACCGGCGTGGATCATGGAGGTGCGAGCCACCTCCATGACCAAACCGATGCGTCGCTCAGCGACCCCATTCTGCTGCGGGGAGTCCGGCAGGGTAAACGTCTGGGTGATGCCCTCCGCACGACAGAAGCGACCAAGGACACCTGAGGCAAACTCGCCACCCCGGTCGGAGTGAAGGCGCAAGGCAGGGAGACCGCGGTGGACACGAGCAGAGACAAGCCAGGGGATGAGAACGTCAGGCACGTCGGCCTTCCGCTCCAGGGGGAAGACGGTGGTGTAGCGCGTGAAGTCGTCGACAAGCACTAGGAAGAAGCGCTCGCGACGCGGCCCATGGACCGGGGCTGGGCCCCAGACGTCCATGTGCAGAGTCTGCAGTGGTGCGGTGGTAGGGGGAAAAGAGGAGGAGTGAGGGGCACGGCGGAGCCGGCCCTCGACACAAGGCGTGCACGGTGGGGCGGGGGAGGAGGGAAACTCGGGGAACGAACCGGGGAGACCAAGGACGAGACCGTGCTGGGACATGTGACGCAGACGTGGGAGTGCAGGGTGACCAAGGCGGTGGTGCCAAAGGAGAGTCGGGTGAGTGAGGGACCGACAGGAGCACGCGGCTGCAACCTGGGTGGACGCAACTACCGGGGGGGAAGACCCAGCCGGGGACGGCGCGGTGTCAAGTGTGAACAGGCCGGACACCGGGTCCCGGGGGAAAGTGGTAAGGGGGGCACCAGTGGCGGCCTCGGTACAGACAGCATACCGCTCATGACCAGGGAACGTAGTGGTGACGCCAAGGTCCTGGAGGCAGCCGACACCAACTAGGTTCCTGGAGAACGAGGGGATATGCAGACCTGTGAGAGTGCCCGAAGGAACCGCCGGACAGGGAAGGGAGGTGGAACTGCGGGCAACGACGGGACCACCGGAGGGGTCAGCAAGAGTAACTGCAGCGGGAACAGGCAGCGGCGTCAGCGTCGTGGAGTCGCGGAAGAAACACCGGGAGGCGCCAGAGTCCAAGGTGAAGGAAAGCGCAGCAGTCGCGCGAGGCAGCAGTGAAGCGGTGGAAGCACCAAGGCTAAGCAAAGCAGGAGATCCTACGCCTGACGCAGCAGGGGAGTCTACGCTAGGCACCGCTACACTAGGCAACACGGGGTAATAAGAGGGAAGCACACTAGACTCATCAGCATACATCACATGCAAGGCCGCTACAATGGCATCCATGTCCAAGTCAAAAATCCTAACGCTACGCCTAAGCAAGCTGTGCCAGTCTGGGAGGTCGGGCGCCGGGCCAAAGCGCTGGCGGAACAGGTCGTCCAGGCGACGAAAACAGCGAGGAGTAGAATGACCGATCTTACCGCAAGCGAAGCCGCGGCGAGGACCGGTCTGGATCTGGTACTGACAGGGCCCGCCTCCAGAACCACCACCCGGTGCACCACCACGCGCACGACCACCACCAGCTCCAGGCCACCCAGGTGGGAGAGTACTCGCCGGCCTCGTCTGCGGCGGCTGCTGCGGCTGCTGCAAAGGCTGCGGCTGCGGCGCCTGCTGCTGCTGCGGCTGCTGCAACTGTGGAGGCAGCGGGGCAGCTGGACCGGGCAGGGTCCCCACGTCCGCACTGGCACCGGACGACCCGCCTCCACCACTACCCCCACCCGCACCCCCGCCGCCTCCGCCGCTCCCAACCTTGGGGCGGCGGCCCTTCGCCGAGCGGGACTGCACTGCAGCAGCAGTCTCAGCCACAGCGACAGAGCCGTCGGAGAAGGTACACTGAGCGGGGGCAC